CCCAAGAATTATTCCTCAGATCCCGGTTACAAGTCGTACCCGATCGTCGGAAGTCTACCTGGCTTGTTGAAAAACCGTCACCGTGCACTCGATTGGACCGTAGAGAATCTGTCCCGATGCCCAACACAAACCTCTGTTTTCCGGCGACCAGGGAAGCAACAATCTGTCGTTACGGCTAATCCAGCGAACATCGAGTACATGCTCAAGACGAAATTCGAGTGTTTTCCTAAAGGCGAGCGATTCATATCGTTCTTGGAGGATTTCCTCGGCCGTGGGATCTTCAACTCCGACGGTGAGGTGTGGTGGAAACAGAGGAAAACGGCTAGCTACGAATTCAATACCAGATCTCTCCGTGACTTCGTTATGACCAATGTCTCCGTCGAAATCAACACTAGGTACTCAGTTTAATCAACTTCACTTCCGATTTGAGTTTTCAGATGCTGAGATTTTTCTCCGATCCTCAGACTTGTTCCGGTGTTAACAGCCGCTACAACCGCCGGAAAATTGATAGATGTTCAAGACACATTGGAGAGATTCGCGTTTGATAACATCTGCAGATTAGCTTTCAATGTAGATTCCGGTTGCCTCGGAGACGACGGAGCCGCCGGTGTCGAATTCATGCGTGCCTTCACAACGGCGTCGGAGATCATTTCGAAACGGTTTCAATCGTTGGTTTCGTATTCATGGAAGATCAAAAGGAAACTGAACATTGGATCAGAGATTCTTTTAAAAGAATCAATCGTGATCGTTCATAAATTCGCAGACGAAATCGTGCGTAACAGGATTGATCAAGGAAGAACAAGTAGCAAGAAGAACGAAGATTTGCTTTCTCGGTTTATCGGCAACGAGGAGATGAATTCGCCGGAGTTACTCCGTGATATTGTCATAAGTTTCATCCTCGCGGGACGAGACTCAACTTCCTCTGCTTTGAGCTGGTTCTTCTGGTTACTCTCTATGCATCCAGAGGTGGAACATAAGATTCTCCAAGAGCTGAAATCGATCAGAGAACGAACAGGGAAGCGATTCGGGGAAGTTTTCGGCTTTGAGGATCTTAAACTGATGAATTATCTTCACGCAGCGATAACCGAGTCTCTAAGGCTATATCCTCCAGTGCCACTTGACCAATTGAGCTGTGTTGAGGACAATGTATTGCCTGATGGGACTTTTGTAGGGAAAGATTGGGGAATATCCTATAGCGCGTACGTGATGGGAAGGATGGAGAGTATTTGGGGGAAAGACTGTGATCGGTTTGATCCAGAGAGGTGGATTGATGAAACGAGTGGTGGTTTTAGAGGTGAGAATCCTTATAAGTTTCCGGTGTTTCATGCTGGACCAAGGATGTGTTTAGGGAAAGAAATGGCTTATATTCAGATGAAATCGATAGTGGCCGCGGTGTTAGAGAGGTTTGTGGTTGAGGTTCCGGGGAAAGAGGAGCGTCCTGAGATGCTGTTGTCTGTAACACTTAGAATCAAAGGAGGTTTGTTTGTCAAGATACACGAGAGAACCTGAGTTGCTTGTTGGACAAGTTAACTCTTTTGTAATAATGTCTATTTTTCATTTGTTCGTGCATTTGTGAGAACTTACGATCTTGAACATTCAAGACTATTAAGGTAATCAATATCCAAAGCTCAGCTTTCAACATTTGCTGAACCGGAAACGAAGGACCATACCATCAGACCCGTGCCTAGAATTTTTAATGCCATAAGCAAAATAAAAATACAATTTGATATTCATATTTATAATAAATACAATACAATTTTTATGCAAATTTTTAAGCATATATAAAACTACGATATAGGAAATATGGTATTTTATATTACAAAAATGTAAAATATAAACAAAAATAAATGGGACAAAAATAACTAACAAATAATAAATTAGTGAAAAATAAGATTTAAAATTAAACTAAATATGAGAATAAATAGTTAATGTTTTAGAAGAAATAGTTTTAACTTTAGGTTTTTGGTAGGCATTTGTAAAGGGAAAAAACAAACTTTATACAATATAAAATAAAAATATTTGTGAGTATGCCCCTAGATCTTATAATAAAATATGATGCTCTAAGCTAATGTTTAAATTTTTTGTTAAAGAGGCACGGCTCTGCATACCATATGGAGAACCAATGGTCACTATTAATTAACTTTGCTAATCTCTATGGGAGGATAAAATCTATGATCACTTATGGTTTAACAATTGTATTTTTCTCACAAGAATTAGCGTTTCAAAATATGAAATTCAAGACGATAGCTTCACTTACCTATACTCTAGACCGTAAATGTTAATTTTATCAAAGAAAAAATAGGGGACAACATATTTATTTTCTCGAAGATGAATTTACAGTTGTAAAAAAGAAATTTTTATTATTTTGATCCAAAAATCAATTTATTATCAGAAAAAACTATACTACACCATTAGCACTTGTAACTTGTGTTGGAACTTGTAAGAAAACAGGATTTAAAACTAAAATAGAAACTCGATACTAACGAGAAATCGAAAAGGAGGTTTGTGGTTGCTTGTTGGACAAGTTAACTTTGATTTACTTTTGTTTGAGATTAAGAATTTCCTCTTCCTCAGGCTTCCGCTTAAGATTTTCTGGAGTTAACAGGCTTGAAAAAAGCAGGGTTGAGCTTTCAAGGGGAAGAAACCAAAGAGGGTCAGGATCAGATATGACAACACCATAATCTTGATTATACAAACTTTCAAAGTCGCAAACAGAGAGTTCTTCTAGGTTTTTGGAGAGTAGTAATATATTTGAAGATCGGGGATGATTTCGCGCTGCCCAAAGAAGAACGTGCACTGCCATGGTGTTGGGATCGTATACTCGAATCGAACCTCACAAATCACTCAATCGCACTCGTGTG